TGTTAGTTTGAATTTTAGTCTTTTGTCCTGAATAGCATCAGATCCATTATACACAGCTAGGAGTGGGTGAGGCCAGGAGTTCACAAACAACATTTTCAGGTTGCTTTCTTGAGTTCTTGTCAGTGTGTTCTCCTATATGTTTTTTGGTTCCTAGGTTCTCATCTTTTCTGGCCAGAAAACAGTGGAGTTAGTTATGCTACTCTGTCATATACACTGTACTTCCATGACTGTCTCACATTTAGGGCCAAGAAATGGGAGGATAGAGAGTGGAGAAAATTGGTAATTCCCCTTCCTCAGAGTTTGGTTTCTGCAATCTGTCTTTTCAGGCATTGTTGTATGTGGTTGCTTGGGTGCTGTGGCTCAGGAGAAGAGGTTAAAAACAATAAATTGGAGGGATTTTCATATTTCCTCTCAGTGTTAGAAGTTCCCTTTCTCCTTCCTTGAGCCCGAACTAGAGGATGTATCTCTGTGCCTTGGTGTGCGTTTCTGGGTTGGCTCAGTGATACTGGAGGGGAAAATGATAAATTTACCCAGGGTTTGGTGATATATTGAATTCTGGTCTTCTTTCCCAATTCTCCTCCTCCCTTTTGCCGTTGAGAATCCCCAAGTAGTGCTTAGTGTATACCATATACATTTTATAGCTGGACTAAGATTTCATGTGGCCCTTGATGTCTGTTGTTGCTTTTTCTTGTTTTTATTTTTATGCTTGACTTCCTTCTAAGGGTCACCCCTGTGCTTGCATACCTTAATGCTCAGTCTAACATTGTTGTTTGTTCAGACAAAGAATTTGTGTGCAAACACTGCTAGCCAGTAAGGCTTCCTTCCACTCTGGCCAACAGAGCCTGTGCATACACAGAGGAGACAGAGAGAGGCCAGAAAGAGCTGGTGGAGACAGAAAGAGCTGGTGGCCTGTAGTGTAAATGCACTCCTTGGCTAACACATTGACTCATCAGCATAGAGGAAGTTTTGTTCATTTTTATAGTTGATTTGGGGGGAGAAGAATTTATTGTCCACCTCACTTCATAAAACAGAACTTTATCTCTCAAGTTTTAATGTCTTAAAATAGAGATCTCATCATGATTTCCCCTTTTCAGGAGCTTTCAGTGGTGGTTCAATCAGACTGTATAGCCTAAAGTTTTTAAAAGCCGTCATAGTTGACTTCACACTTAATTTCTTCAGTTAACTTATTTTTACTACATCATTTTCTTTCCTATTTCCACGCTTTTTGTAAAAGATGTTCTTCCTGTCTAGAATGTTCTTCCACTTTTGTATCGTTCCTCCAAGACCCTCTAAGGTTCAACTCAAAACTCTTTAAGGTCTACACCTCCATCCCCTGGCCCAAGTGGTCTCTTCATGCTCCTTAAGTCAGAATTACCTTGTCTTTTTCTTCCCCATAGTTTCATAGCACTGTATCTTTATGCATTATTCAGTGTGCCTTATTTTGTTTTTGTTTTTTGTTGTTATGAACTTTCTGAGGGGAAGGACATGTTCTATTAGTTGTATTAACAGTGGTATCTAGCCTGTTCTGTGCACACAATTGGCACTTAGTAAATTATGATAAGATCCACAAGATACAGGACTTACTTTTTTCTAGACATGTGAGCTTCTTGAATACATGCTATGGAGTGCCACTTTTTTTCTTTTCTTTTTTAAAAAATATATTTTATTGATTTTTTACAGAGAGGAAGGGAGAGGGATAGAGAGTTAGAAACATTGATGAAAGAGAAACATCGATCAGCCGCATCCTGCACACTCCCTACTGGGGATGTGCCCACAACCAAGGTACATGCCCTTGAGCAGAGTCGAACCTGGGACCCTTGAGTCCGCAGGCTGACGCTCTATCCACTGAGCCAAACCGGTTAGGGCACCACTTTTTTTCTGTGCTTGCTTGGCAGTTAGTTTATGGGCAGAAGAATGAAGACCATTTTATTCTGTGAATTTAAATGGAAATTGGTGGGTAGCAATTTATAATACAATCCTGGTGCTATGGACAAATAAGACATGGTATAGTAGAAAAGAAAACAGACTTAGAGACTTGTTAAGGTATTATTTCAAATTTTAACTCTAACAGGTGTAACATTAGACAGGACCTCCCCATCCCCCTTTTCAGAGCTTTCAGGTGGTTCTTCCTCACTCCCTTAACAGCTATAACATGATAGCAGCAAAAATAAAATAGGGATTGGTAAATGAGTCAACCTAACAGGATTAGTAAGATCTAGTTGATTGCCAGAGATGAATACTACCTTACCAAATAAGGAATCTTGTTAGATAATAGCTTTGCAGAAAATTCAAATTATTTTGCTGATAGCCTATAAAGGAAAGTCATAGCTAAAATTTTTCTGGTTTCCTAATCAACTTATGACACATTTAAATTGGTTTCTCCTTCTGACTTTTATCTTACATAAGTCCTCAAGTTTGTATCAAATCTTGCCCAGTTGGTGTGGCTCAGTGGTTGAGTGTCGAACTATGAACGAGTAGGTCATGGTTCAATTCCCGAACAGGGCACATGCCCAGGTTGTGGGCTCCATCCACATTGGGTGGTGGTGGTGGTGGTGCAGAATGCACCCGATCAATGATTCTCTCTCATCATTGATGTTTTCATCTCTCCCTTCCACTCTGAAATCAATCTACACTAATAAAAGAGAAAAATGGTAATTGGCGTACGGCGCTACCCTTTTCATTGGCTAATCAGGGCTATATGCAAATTAACTGCCAACTAAGATGGCATTAACTGCCAACAAAGATGGCGGCTAATTTGCATATGTAGGCACAATGCAGGGAGGCAAAAGGGAAAGCAGGAAGAAGCCCCCTGCCACTGACAGTGATCGGAAACCCAGAGGGGAGCTAAGAGGTGGGGGGCAGGGCAAAGGCGGCCCTGGGGCCACCTTTGCCCTGCCCCCCAGCCATGATCGGAGAATCAGGCGCCTTTGCCGCCCTGGCCAGTGATAGCAGGAAGTAGGGGTGGAGCCAGCGATGGGAGCTGGGCACGGTCGAAGCTGGCAGTCCCGGGAGCTAGGGGTCCCTTGCCTGGGCCTAAAGCGGAGCCCACGATCGCGGGGCCGCTGCAGCCGTGGGTCCCCGCTGCCCGGGCCGGACGCCTAGGCCAGAGGCGTTAGGCCTGCGCAGGGGCAGAGCGGGAGATGGCGGGGAGCTGGGAGTTCCCTGCCCAGGCCTAATGCCTTGGCCAGAGGCGTTAGGCCTGGGCAGGGGCAGAGCCTGCAACCGCAGGGAGCTGGGGGTCCCCTGCCCAGGCCTAATGCCTCGGCCAGAGGTGTTAGGCCTGGGCAGGGGCGGAACCTGCAACCGCGGGGAGCTGGGGATCCCCTGCCCAGGCCTGACATCTCTGCCAGAGGCCTCAGGCCTGGTCAAGGGGCCGATCCGGTGATTGGTGATCGGAGGGTGATGAGGGTCAACTCCTCTGGCCGAGGCATCAGGCCTGGGTGGGGGGCAGAGCCGGGGATTGGAGGGATATGATGGTCCCCTTGCCCAGGCCTGAAGCCTGGGTCAGAGGCGTCAGGCTTGGGCGGGGGGGTGGAGCAAGCGATCAGAGGGAGATGGGGGTCCCCTGCCCAGGCCTGATGCCTGGGCCAGAGGCATCAGGCCTGGGTTGGGGGCGGAGCCGGGGATTGGAGGGATATGATGGTCCCCTTGCCCAGGCCTGAAGCCTGGGTCAGAGGCGTCAGGCTTGGGCGGGGGGTGGAGCAAGCGATCAGAGGGAGATGGGGGTCCCCTGCCCAGGCATGATTCCTGGGCCAGAGGCCTCAGGCCTGGGCGGGGGTCAGAGCCAGTGATTAGGGGGAGATGGGGGTCCCCTGTCCAAGCCTGACACCTCTGGCGGAGGCGTCAGGCCTGGGCAAGGGGCCAATCAGGCGATCGGAGGGTGATGGGGGTCTACGCCTCTGGCCGAGGCATCAGGCCTGGGCAAGGGGCAGAGCCAGCAATCGGAGGGGTCTGGGGGTCCGCTGCCCAGGCCTGACGCCTGGGCCAGAGGCATCAGGCCTGGGCTGGGGGCAGAACCAGTGATGGGGGGAAATGAGGGTCCCCTGCCCAGGCCTGACACCTCTGTCAGAGGCGTCAGACCTGGGCAAGGGGCCGATCCTGCGATTGGAGGGTGATGGGGGTCAACGCCTGAGGGCTCCCAGTATGTGAGAGGGGGCAGGCTGGGCTGAGGGACACTCCCCCCCCCCCCGTGCACGAATTTCGTGCACCGGGCCCCTAGTAAAGATATATTAAAGAAAAATAATATGTGTCAAATCTTAAAGGAAAATGTATTCACTGTTCAAATGAAGACTGAATAGAAAGCAGCCCTATCTCCATATGCAATTCAAAACACATATTGAGCACCTTAGCTCCATACTGTGTTCTGTTGGGAATATAAAACAGCTCCTTCAGATGCTTCTAGACTAAGTGAGAGGAAGTCAAACATGCGATTTTTTTTTTAAATCCTCACCCAAAGATATGTTTTTATTGATTTTTTTTTTTTTTTTTTTTTTTTTTAGAGAGAGAGAGAGAGAGAGAGAAACATTGATGTGAGAGAGAAGCATCAATCAGTTGCTTCCCATATGTTCCCTGACCAGAGATCAAACCCCCAACTTTTTGTGTATGGGATGACACTCCAACCGAGTCATCCAGGCAGGGCAGAAATGATCCTTTATGATGAAGTAGAATGGACTTAACTGGTTCCTAAATAAGTAATGTTACAAGAATGGAGGTTCAGTTAATTCTGTGTGGAAGGAAGCTCATGGGAAGTTTCATTGAAGGGATGTCCCTTAAAATGAACTTTCAATAGTGAATCATCTTTGAAAAACCAGAAGAAAAGTATAGGAAAGAATTCTAAGCTGAGGCACAAACATGCATGTTTTGTTTAGGAGATGATCATATGAACATTACTGTGCTCAGGGATGTGAGTTGAGTTTGGACAAGTAGATTGGGGACATTGTGGTACAAGGATTTTGGAAGCTCACCTGGTTTTAAATTCCTTCTCTTTTGTTTGTTTTCAGTAGAGTTTATGTGCTTTTGAAAATTTCTCTGAACCTGAGATTTCACATGTGAAAAAATGGAGATAATGTCTACCTTGGGGTTTGTTTGTTTGTTTGTTTGTTTGCCATAAATAATTATATTAAGTACCTGTGACAATATTGTGTATGTAGTGAGTGGTGACAACTAGTGGGCTCATGTTAATTTATCCTAGATTGCTAAGGTCCCTGAATGCCTTCTTGAAGAGTTTAGATTGTTCTGATGCTTTCATTATATTCATTTTCTTGGTAAATGTTGAATTATTTTATTTGAGACAAAATACTCACTTTTATATCACTCTATTGATTTTTTTTCTGTGCAGATGTTTTTAAGTTTGCTGTAGTCCCATTTGTCTATTTTGTTACTTGTGCTTTTGGTGTAATATCCAAGAAATTGTTGCCAAATTCAATGTCATGAAGTTTTCCCCCTATGTTTTTTTCTAGGAGTTTTATAATTTTATGTTTTACTGTTAGGTTTTTAATATAACATTAGTCCTTTCTTAAGATGTTCATTATGTAACTGGGCAGGGAATAAGAAGTCTTTTCTTTAATATGACTATGTCAAGAATTTGCTTTATTTAAACTGTCCTTTTTCCCTCCCTTTCTCCTTCCCTACCTCCTCCTCTCCCTTTTCTTCCTTCTCTTCTTCCCTCCCCTATAACTTGAAGATATGGAATCATTTTTGGGGTATTAATTGCTGTGCTGATAGAATAATTCATTTTCAACAACACTTTCTTGTTTGTTATTTGATTAACAGGAAGAAAATGAGCCTTAAGTCTGAACGCCGAGGAATTCATGTGGATCAATCAGAGCTCCTTTGCAAGAAAGGATGTGGTTACTACGGCAACCCTGCTTGGCAGGGTTTCTGTTCCAAATGCTGGAGGGAGGAGTACCACAAAGCCAGGCAGAAGCAGATTCAGGAGGATTGGGAACTGGCAGAGCGGTAAAAAGACTTAACTAGGGGTGGTTTTACAGTGATATAACTGGATACATAGTACTGTTATTTTCAGAATACATTTTTTCTCTTCTGTCTTGAGCTATCAGCAGATCAGCCTAATATTAAGTGAAAAAAATGTTCCCCTCTTCTTCTCAGTCAACATTTAATGAATAGCTTTCAGTGCCTTCATTTTGTCTTACCATTTAAGTATTTTGTGTTTGAGGTGTGTATGTTTCCTAATACAGAGAATAACAGTTGGGAGTAGAAGAATGGAGGTAAACATACTTCATGGTGGAGGCTAAATGAGGTAATATTTATAATGTCCTTAGCACAGGACTTGGCACATGGCTCTCGTCAAGCATTGTTTCCCCCCATTTTTTGTTATATCCAGCATGGCATCTGGCACATCACAAACACGTAGTATATACAAATCAACAGATTTGTAGTTCTTGAATTATGAAAATTTACCTTTTCCGAAATGGTGTTTGTAGGACAGAAGTATTATTTGAGAAGTTTGTATTATCCAGAAATATGATTATGATAAAAATTAAAGGATGGCATAGCTGGTGAGCATAGGAACTAATAAAATGCCACGAATAATGTTAATCCTTTGCCAGAGCATCCTTGAAACTGAAACTTCTCAGTAAAAGAAAGTCAAGCTGAACTCTGACCACTTTTGCTAGTTTTATATCCAATTAGCCACATTTGAGTGACCACTTTTCTAACATCTGTGGTGAATGCACAGAATTAAAAAGTACACTCACCGCTTTCGGTGACTCCATGGTCAATCAAAGAGAGAAAAAATATATAGAGAACATTAACTATTCCTTCAGGTTTCTCACTGCATTCCTGATATTCTCAGTAGCTGATCTATTTCAGGAAGAAGTAGAGGATACTAAACATGAATGCTCTTAGCTTTCTCCCCTCTTCACTGCCAAATGTACTAATATCTATATTACCTTCTATTTTGTTTCAGAGAAAGATGTATCTCTATTCCATTCTCAGATTAACCACCTCTCCCTGTGATTTTGTTGCTATTTCTTACTCCTTTCAATTGTTATCTCCCTTGAGGTTTCTTACAGGCATGGGAATCGCCTCGATGGAAATCTTGTAAAAACAATGATTGCTGGACCTCATTCCCAGAGTCTCTGAATTTATTAGGTTGGGAGTGAGGCCTGAAAATTTGCATTTATGACAAGTTCCTAAGTGATGCTGATGCTACTATCTGAGGAATCACACTTTGAGAACCATTGTTCTATAGATAGCTTTTGAGATTTATTATAAATACCTCAAATTCAGCAGTTCTAAGGCCAGAATTAGTGCTTTTGTTTACTCTAATCCCCATTTTCAACATTTTTTCCTAACCTCTTTCTGAATCAGTTAATGACATTACCATTAATTCAGTTGGCTAAAAAACATTGGCGTATTCTTAATTTCTCCTTCATCTTTCACACTATCTACAACTAGTTGTGCAAGTTCTACTTTTTTGAGCTTAGAGAAGTCTTTTTAATTTCACCCTCTTCTGTTTTCTAGGTCCTATTTTCTCTCACTTAAATATTTTTAATATATTCTTAATTATTGTCCCTGTCTCTAGTCTCTCTGCCCCTCCCATTGTCACACAACTGCCTGTAGTATCTTTCTAAGTACAGATCTGATCATGGTAACTTACTGGATTTACAGTCTTTTTGGTTTCCCACCACATAGTGAAATCCAGGATGATAGTGGGTCCGCAGCCAAAGTTTCTTACCGTCTGGTGCCTATACACAAATAAGCCTCATATTCACCATACCATCGGTGCTCTGATTACACTGGACTTGGTTTGTAACACGAACCTTATGCCTTCACATTTGTAGCTCCTTCTTCCCAGAATGCCTTTTGACTTGGTGGAATCTTATTCATCCTTTAAGACATACCTAAATGTCACCATTGTGAAACCTTCTTGGACTCCTCCAGCAGATTTAGTTGTTCTTTCCTGTGTTCTCATAGCACTTGTGTTTTACTCTCTACTATAGGAGCTGTTACATTATATTGTAATTATTTACTTATCTTTTTCTTCTTTTTGACCTTGAGCTTATTAGGGAAAAGGACTGGACTTCCTTTTATGTAACCCTTGTACAGTTGCTGAATGAACATGATCTGTGGAGAAAGTCTCTTTTAAAGTCTATAGTAGTATGTAGGATAGTTTCATGTCAGAAACTCCAGACCTATTATTTGGTGCATTTGACCTCTAGTTCTAAAAATTTTAGATCCTCCTCAATTCATTGAGTAATAACCTTTAGATACAAGAAAAACTTGGAGAATATCTGGGTCATTAATCCTCTCTTAAATTACAGACTACAGCGGGAGGAGGAAGAGGCCTTTGCCAGCAGTCAGACCAGCCAAGGGGCTCAGTCCCTCACATTTTCCAAGTTTGAAGAAAAGAAAACCAATGAGAAGACTCGCAAGGTTACCACAGTGAAGAAGTTCTTCAGTGCTTCTTCCAGGGTTGGATCAAAGAAAGGTAATTTTCTGATTTTCTTTTTTTCTTCTGTGCCCAAATGAAGTACAGAATAGATCCACATACATGTAGGCTCAGCCTTTTAATTTCTGTAAAAGCTTTTAGAGACCATGAACTCAGATTTGAGGGTCAGGTGACATATGAAATTGGGTTTGAGGGTCAGGCAATATATGAAACAAAAAATCTCTTTGGTTGCTTTTTGTTTTTTTTAGAGAAGCTTGTTTATTTACTCTAGGAGAAATAAAGAGAAATGAAATATATAATTTTCTTTATAAAATTCATGCCCATCTAAATGGCTGTCTTTTTGGATGTTCTATTTTTTTGTGCCTTTAATTTTTGGATTCTGGTTTATTCTCCTTTACATGTTGTCCCTACCATTCATGTCTTATCAGAAATGGCTGTTTCTAGGCTTGAAGTCATCTAAAAAGGAAGTTTTCTGAGAGCTTATCTGAGAGACAGTATTGAGGAAATATATGGAGAACATATACAAAAAGACTCACTTTGGGCTTTTAGATTGGTGAACATAACCCATAGTATGCATTTTCTAGTGTCTGGATGTGTATATACTTGACCTTATTCATCCTTCTTCTTAAAATGCCATAAACCAGCAACAGGATTATCGCTAAAGTCACACTTGTTCTAGCAGTGAGCAGTCTAGCAGGAAGCAAGAGAGAATGTCTGCTGTTAGGACTTGGTCTCTGAACATTTATATTGGTAACCGTTGTGCAGTGAATTTGGAATAGTGAGGAAGCATGGGAACTAACACTGATGCAGTCAGAAGAGCTCTTTTCTTGGGAACCCTGTCTCATTCTCAGCCCCTCAACTTGGGGTATTTGGGATGAGGTTTTTTGGCCTGCCTAAAGGCAGGGGAATGAATAACATCACTCCTTAAGATCTTTGCTGGTCTTGGATTTAATGACTCTTGTTTAGTTGTATTAAAGGAAAGGTTGCTTATAACCAGAAAAACAAATCTTTAAATAATCTTTTAGTTCACATGATTAATTTGGAGAATAGTCAATACCTGCTGGAGATTAAATTAAGAATATATTTGGCTCATGATTTATTTATTAGGAGGTAGTATAGTAAGGTGGTTAAAAACATAAACTTCGGAGTCATCCTGGTTTGAGTCTCAGCTTTGGGGTTTACTGGCTGTGTGACTCAGAGCAAGCTAATCTCTTTAAGCCTGTCAGTTCTGAAGGACAGTAATACTTACCATAGGCATGTCTTTAGGTTAAATGAATTGATGTGTGTAAAGAGTTTAGCACAGTACCTGACATACATTGTAAGTCTACAGTAAGTGTTAATTATTTTAAAACCAATAAATGTTGTTTTTCTGAGAGAATAGTCTCTGCTAGTAGAGAACTCAAGGGCATTGATCAAAGCCATTCTTTCCTAGTTAGCTTAAATTCTGTTTCCTGCTTTGGGAAAAGTCTCACTAATCTTATGAATTTACTAGAGGTCCAGTGCACAAAATTTGTGCATGGGTATGGTCCCTAGGCCTGGCCTGTGATTAGGGCCATCTTCCCCAGCTGCCTGCAGCTGGTCCTGCCTCCCGCCGCCACCCACCCACAGTTCCCCATTCGCCATTGGGTGATCGAAGCCTGCCGGCCAGGGGGAGGAACTGAGAGATCGGCCATTCCGCCCGCTCGCCAGCCTCGCCCCCGCAGCAGGTTGCCCTCTGTATGTGGGGCAGCTGGTGGGGTGGGGGCCGTGGCCTGGCACCACCTGCGTCCCCCGCCACCCACCCCTGCCTCCCCGTTCGCCATTGGGTGATTGGAGACTGCTGGCCTGGGAAAGGGACCGAGAGGTGGTCAGTGTGCCTCATAGTGACTGGTCATTCTGGTAGGGTCTATTTGCATGTGACCTTTTTATTATATAGGACAGTGATGGCGAACCTATGACACGCGTGTCAGAGGTGACACGCGAACTCATTTTTTGGGTTGATTTTTCTTTGTTAAATGGCATTTAAATATATAAAATAAATATCAAAAATATGCATCTTTGTTTTACTATGGTTGCAAATATCAAAAAATTTCTATATGTGACACGGCACCAGAGTTAAGTTAGGGTTTTTCAAAATGCTGACATGCCGAGCACAAAAGGTTCGCCATCACTGATATAGGATGATAGATAATGAAATGGCATATGACAGCAGATGAAATAATACAGAAATTATAAAACTATTAACTCTAACCTGCCTCATTTTACAAATGACATGAAGCTCATAAAAGTTATCTAATTTACCCAAAGTTATATGAGTTGATGTATTACAGCTCAGGTCTCCTAACTCCTGGCTTAGTGTTTTTCCTTGAATTCGTGTGTGTGTGTGTGTGTGTGTTTACCTATATCTTTACCTATATGTATAGACATTTGATGAGGTTTCTATTACTGAAGTGCATAATAATCATGTGCATTCACTGACCATCTTGACAGTTTTAGAAAAATGTTCTAAGAGCTACTGACAATGTGCATCATAGTATAGAAAGAAGATTGGTACTTTAAAAGAAACAATTCCAAGTTATTTTTATTTTAAAAACCTTTACATGGCCCTCTCCAGTTTGCCTCAATGGATAGAGTGTCGGCCCTTGGACTGAAGGGTCCCAGATTTTATTCTGATCAAGGGCATGTGTTTCAGTTGCAGGCTCAATTCCCTGCCCTAGTCAGGGCGCATGCAGGAGGCAACCAATCAATGTCTCTCTCTCACATTAATGTTTCTCTCTATCTCTCCTGCTCCCTTCCACTCTCTCTAAAAATCAATGGAAAAATATTCTCAGGTGAGGATTAACAAAAAATAAATTTAAAAAGAAAACTTTTATACGGAATATTTTTTATTATTTTTTCTTTTAGAATGATATGTTTTTACTTTGATTTTTTATCTTTAGTTATTTTTATTGTTTGTTTATAGAAAGCATATGGGGGGAAAAGACCTCAAAGTATTGAAAAAATTAATGTGTATAAAGAGGATGCTGTTGGATCTTTTTTTTCCACAAGCTTATGTAACTTTGCTAGATGGACTTAGCATTTTAGACTGATTTTTTGGCCTTTGCATGTAGGTGAGGTTAGCCTATTCTAAATGAGTTTTAATTTATTGAGTCTAAACGAAGATAGACCTTTTGTGTTTTGTGTTCTTTATTTTACTTCATTAATACATGATGCCCTTGCTCTTGATATTTTACTTCTTTGGTAGCACAAAAGAAAGCTGTTAAGCCAGGGCAGCTTGGTAATAAACAGAACACAAATAACCTTCTAAAGATTTGAAGACTATTTTAACAAGCATGAGATGGTTGACTGTAAAAGCTTAGAGAGTTTACATAGAGTTTTCTAATCTCCAAAGTAAGGTTGAGTGAGCTAAAGCTTACAGAGTAATTTATAGTGGGTTGGCCAAGTGGAAATACTTGCTCATACATTTAAAAATTCCCACTTTTTAAGAGCTCAAATAGATGTTGTCACCCTAAGTAAAAACTTGTAAACAGTTTACAAATTAATCTAAAAGCTCCTAGAATTAAAATACTAGTCTTCCACCTAGTTATTAGATTCTAATACTGTTCTTCACTAAACTGAACTATGGTTCCTTTGAGAAGTGACCGATTCCAGGGCTGGAACAGGGAAAGAGGACCCCCAAAAATGTTGGGGACATGGCAAAGACCCAGAAACGAGCTTGAATGGGTTCCCACTGGCCAAACTGGAGTATCAGAATAAATAAGGACAATCAATGGAGTGTAACTTATTGAATAAAATAATAATCCATTAGTCCAGCCAACTAATAAAATAGATAAATAATTCAATAAAGGAGAAGAGAATGTTCTTCTTTACCAAAGAATGTTAACTAATCAATATGAAAAGGATGATGGAGATAGAAAAATCACTATTTCACAGTTGTCATAGTAAGGATTGATTTAGGCAAGTTTCATCATCTGGGTTGAGAGGAGAGAGTTTCCTGAGGAACAAGTTAAGAACGTGGTCTCAAATGAACTCCCATAACTTATTATTAATTACAAATAGAGAAATGGTAACTATGTAACTAGGGGGAAGGTAGACATTATGTGCTTCCAGATAATGATACTTTGAAAAGAGCATAGCATAAGCTGAAAATTTATAACCTGAATGCAGTCATGAGGAAACAGCAGAGAAACCGGAACTGAGGGGCATTCAATGAAATAACTGGCCTCTATGTTTCTAAATTGTGAATGTCTTGAAAAACAATGGAAGGTTGGGAGCATTTCCAGATTAAAGAAGACTAGTGCCCGGCCGTTATGGTTCAGTGGTTGAGCGTCAACCTATGAACCAGGAGGTCACAGTTTAATTCCCAGTCAGGGCACATGCCCAGGTTGCAGGCTTAATCCCCAGCGTGGGCCATGCAGGAGGCAGCCAATGAATGATTCTCTCTCATTGATGTTTCTGTCATTCTCCCTCTCCCTTCCTCTCTGAAATCAATAAAAATACATTTGTTGTTGTTGTTTTTTTAAAAAAGACTAGTGTACATGACCACTAAATGAATGTGTGATTCTCAGTTTCTTTTGTTTTCATTTATAAATACATATATCTTTATCCCAATTTCCCTAATTTGCATAAAAGATAGCACTACATATATATCCTCATTTTTAAACTTAGCAATACAGCCCTCGCAGGTTTGGCTCAATGGATAGAGCGTCGGCCTGTGGACTGAAGGGTCCTGGGTTCAATTCTGGTCAAGGGCACATGCTAGGGTTGTGGACTCAATCCCCAGTAGGGGTCATGCAGGAGGCAGCCAATCAATGATTCCCTCTCATCATTGATGTTTCTATCTCTCCCTCTCCCTCTCTGAAATCAATAAAAATATTTTTTAAATAAATAAACTTAGCAATACATTTAAGAACTTCTTCCTTTTATCACTACATAAAGGCATACTTTTTTGTTTTAAAATTACACAATATTCCATTTTGTGGATTAAATAATTTATGTAATCCCTTAAGTCACCATTTTGTACAGTTGCAGTATTGTGCTAACATGAGTAGCCTTATACATACTTTATTTTTTACATATGCAATTATATCAGAAAATTTCTGAAAAATGGAATTGTTTGGTCATAGGATAAATGTATTTTTAATTTTGATGATTATTACCAAATTGCACTTCATTGCAGTTATATCATTTTACATTCCCACCTTCATGAGTGCCTTCCCCCATATCCTCATCAACATCAAACTTCAAATTTTTGTCTAATTTATTACTTTTTTAAATGGCATCTCATAGTAGTATTAATTTGCATATTTGTTAACAGGAGTGAGATTGAACATATTTCCTGTTTAAGATCGATTTATGTTTCCTTTTTGTGAATAGTTAGTATTCTTTACCCATTTCATATTAAACTGTTCAATTTTTTTTTCTTCTTTATAGGAGTCCTTTTACATTAGGGAGAGTAGCCCTTTGTGATGTAACATACAAACATTTTTTCCCAGTTTGTTGTCCGACTTCTGACTGATGTGTTTCTAGTCACATATACAATATTTTTTGTGTGCTTTTTTCCTTTATTTTTCTTTTAATGTGATTGAATTCTTTAATGGCTTCTACATTTTGAATCATAGTTAGCACCTGATAATTTAAAAACTAGGCAAATACTTGTTTTGGGAAGATAACTATGAAGTGCAGTTTTCTTCTGCTAACTACTTAATAGTACAGTTTGGGAGGAGGTGTTTTTACTTTAATTAGAGCATAAGTCAAGTAATTAAGTAATACATTTAATAACCAGTTATGTAATAATTGAAATGTGGAGTGATTAATTTGTTACAGGTAATAGTGTATATTTTTAGGTAATCTATATGTGTTTGTTTCACTTGAATAAACCAGGCAATCTAATAGAAATAATGCCTTTATTAAAACTTTATTTTGTCCTAACCAGTTTGGTTTAGTGGATAGAGTGTTGGCCTGTGGACTGAAAGGTCCCAGGTTTGATTCCAGTCAAGGGCACATGCCCAGGTTGTAGGCTCAATCCCCAGTAGGGGGCATGTAGGAGGCAGCCTATCAATGATTCTCATTGATCATTGATGTTTCTATGTCTCTCCCTTTCCCTTTTTCTCTCAAATCAATAAAAAAATATATTTGTAAAAACTTTATTTCAACTTCATTAAAATGTCTATTAGATACTAAAGTTCAAAAAATAAGATTATAAGAAATTACTCTAAGAAAACATGTAATAGGTTGATTTTTAATATCTTAAAAAGATTATTTTTCTTTTTAATTATCTTTCTTTTTGTGTTAAAAGGGAAGTATGGATGTATAAGGTACCTAATTCCTTATAGGTATTGAATTAGCGCAGTTCAAAAGTAGGAGGTTTAGAATGTGATAGGAGACTAAATGATAGTTCATACTTTCTGAGAGTGCTTACTCTTACATCTCCCTTACCTCTGTTCCATGACTGTCCCATTTTCCTTTTAGTGTATGTATGTATGTATGTATATATGTATTTATTTAATACTTTTGTGGTGTTTTTTTAAAAATGCATTTTTATTGATTTCAGAGAGGAAGGAAGAGGGGGAGAGAAATAGAAACATCCATGATGAGAGAGAATCATGGATTGGCTGCCTCCTGCAAGTCCCCCACTGGGGATTATGCCCACAACCTAGGCATATGCCCTTGACTGGAATTGAACTTTCAGTTTGCAGGCTGACGCTCTATCTACTGAGCCAGACCGGCTAGGGCTTTAGTGTATTTATTGAAGAGAAAAAGAGTATGTGGCCAATTCATTAAACAGTGTTTTATTTGCTTCCCTTGCCTCTTAGCTGTATGCTCTGTCATGATCATTATGCTACTTTAATGCATTCTTTTACTTTGAGCAGTCTGACTTGAAAACCGAATGTTGGATAAATAATTGTTAATCTCCACATAAACAAATTAGCCTTTTGCCTTTTTGGCAAGTAAAATGGATTTGGAAAGGTTGTCTAATATTTTATAAGTTATCTAAATTTTTTTACTTCTGATTATTTCACTTAATTAGTTTTATAAACTCATGCAAACCTGAGAAAGTTGTTCAAGACAGTGGTGCCATGTTAGTATTAATGATTAAATATATAGATCAAAGCATGATATATTTTGGCCAAGAAAATAAAAATAAAGCAACTTTTGTTGGAATAGGGATATCTTTTACATTATATAGGTTTTTTTCTATTTGTATTTTTACTCATAAAATAAATTTAGCTTACTTTAAGGAAAGTTGCCCAAATATTTAAACATAAAATAATTTAAAGTCAAGTTTAACTTTGATTAAGCGTCATTTAAATAATCTTAAATTAGATACTTTAAGTAATTCCATGCATGGCTCTTCTGTGTAATGAAACTTATTTTTAATTTTCCCAGCAGAAATTCAGGAAGCAAAAGCTCCCAGTCCTTCCATAAACCGGCAAACCAGCATTGAAACGGATAGAGTGTCTAAAGAGTTCATAGAATTTCTCAAGACCTTCCACAAGACAGGCCAAGAAATCTATAAGCAGACCAAGATGTTTTTGGAAGCAATGCATTACAAAAGGGTAGGTTGAGAATGACTACTTAGAAACAGTTTTGGTTTGAGGAAGGGTCTTTGAGATAATTTAGTGCAACTTTGTCATTTTATACCTGAGAAAATCAAGACCCAGAGATATTAAGTTACCTAAGAAATGACACTGAATAAAGTGAAAACCTGACTCCCAGGCTAGTACTTTTCCACTGCAACTCAGTGGCATTTAGATCATCTTTACGTGGAAAGTGTGACATCCAAGACACTTTTATAGTATACTTTAGTACTAAGCCTTCCTAACTGTACCTTGTAAACAGTATAAACTACCATAGTTAGTAGACCTTGAGCTTGTAAGTAATAATTGTTAGACCAGTAGCAACCATCTTAGGGTATTTTTGTTTTTGTTTTTTGTATTTTGATTTTAAATTTTCCTCTCCTTGCTAAAGTAGAGAAGGGAAAGCTAGAATTTAGATGTTGAAAGTGACCTTAGCAATTATCTGATTTTAGTCCTTTTTATAGATGGGAAAGTTGAGAGCCAGAGAGAATAAGTCACTTGTCCAAGGCTAACAGCTAGGTTCTGCCAGTGTCAGAACCTGTACTTGTGTGTTTCACATGTGTGTCTTTAACCTGTAATTTCTAACTGATAATGTCAGTTACAATAATTCATAAGACCACCTATAAAGGGGCTCATTTTGTAAAGAGTGATTAATGTGTTTCTAACAGACCTCATCCCATAAACATACCTCTAAGTTTATGCTCACCCATTAAACTTAGAATTAGCTCTTGTCAAAATATTTTCTAAATATTGAATTCAGTTAGTACAGGAGAAAATAAGCTTTCTTTCTTGGTTTTCTTTTGGTGTGCACTCACACTGAAAATAAATAAACAGGCTTCTGTTTCCACCCGAAAGTGTTTGCAAGCAAATAGTGAGAGTTAAATAAAGCAAGCAAGATATCATTTACATTTTGAGTTAGAAGTAATGATAGACTTCTTTAATATGAAAAATTCAGATATCATGTGATATACAACTTTCACTTTTATCAGAAGTAAAAACTAAAGTTTTGTAGTTATTTATTCTTTAGCCCATATGAAATATTTACTTGCTATATATACTGTATTGGCATATATACTATATAGTACACATAGCACATAGCACTATATTTTTAAAAACTGCTGAGCTCAGATTTGTTTCTTTTTCTTTTGCTCAGAAGTGTAATGTTCCCTTTTTCTGTAATAATTTAGTTGACTTTTGACTCAATATACTGAAGTAAAGAGGTAATTAACAGGTATAGATACTGCCATACTTAATTGTTTTCAAGGCACCACTAATTGATATTAGAGACCTGAATATGGCCTCAGAGTCCTCCTTGTTGAAGAACCACTGTACAACCTAGTTTTCATTTCTACACCAGCACTGTTTCATGTTGAAGTGGCCGAGTCGTATGCATGTATGCTCAGCATCTAGCATGGTACCTGGCACATACCTGATACCGAACAGATGTTTGTTAAACTAAAGGGGAAGCCCTTCTAGTCTTTAGCTGCAAGTTAATGTTTCAAATAAATAAAACAGTTTTTACACCTGCATGAAGCAACCTTATCTAACTAGCTTCAAATCATTTAATTATAAATTTCTTGAGAGAATTTGATTGAGTACAACTGGGGATAGTTCCTGTGATATAATGAAATATATCACAGCGCATGTGCCCTCTGAGAGGTACTCAATTTATCAAAACTGCTTAAAAATCTGAAGTTTATGTTATGATCCCCAACTAAACTTTCTAGTCTTCTTATTCTTATGATCTACTCATGAAAATACAGTCTTATCTGTTTGGAACTGCCTCGTTGCCATTCATTGATAATTCTTCCTACTGCACCCCCACAATATTATTCTTCAAATGTGTGAGTTTCAGAACACTGAACCATTCTTACCTACATCTTTTTTTTTTTTTTAACTTTATTCCTGTTTTCTCCAACCTTAGTGTATGCCCGTGATGAGCAGCCTTTTCTGCATATGGGTCAAGTCTAGAAAATAAAATACATATTTTCAGAATTATGTTAAAATTTTTCAGCCATTTTATCTTTATCAATAAGTAAGTACTTTACCTGCATTTAGACTTAAAAAGAATTTTTCTCATTCCAAAAAGGGAATTTGGCTAAAATTTTATTTACATAACACTGCATTATTGAAATGTAATGCTTTTCTGTTCAACAGATACTATCATTTGCTAAGACTGATTTATTTTCCCCTTTTTTTCTTTTTGCTTAATCTTTTTTTTTTTATTAAATATATTTTTATTGATTAAGATATTACATATGTGTCCTTGTCCCCACGTTACCCTCTCCCCCCCCCCCCCCCCCCGTTGTCCGTGTCCATTGGTTAGGCCTATATGCCTGCATGTAAGTCCTTTGGTTGATCTTTCCCCCTTACCCCCACCCTCCCCTACCCTCCCTCCAAAGCCCGACAGTCCAATCCAATGCCTCTCCGTCTCTGGATCAGTCCTTGTTCATCAGTTTATGTTGTTCATTATATTCCACAAATGAGTGAGATCATGTGGTATTTATCTGCTCTCCAGTTCCATCCATGCTGTGGCAAATGGTAAGAGTTCCTTTTTCTTCTTCCTCTTCTTAAAGAATACCTTTCAGCATTTCATATAATGCTGGTTTGGTGGTGATGAACTCCTTTAGCTTTTTCTTATCCGTGAAGCTCTTTCTCTGACCTTCTATTCTGAATGATAGCTTTGCTGGATAAAGTAATCTTGGTTGCAGGTTCATGCTATTCATCACTTTGAATATTTCTTGCCACTCCCTTCTGGCCTGCATGGTTTCTGTTGAGAAATCAGCTGACAGTCGTATGGGTACTCCCTTGTAGGTAACTGACTGTCTTTCTCTTGCTGCTTTTAAGATTCTCTCTTTGTCTTTTGCTCTTGGCATTTTAATTATGATGTGTCTTGGTGTGGTCCTCTTTGGATTCCTTTTGTTTGGGGTTCTCTGTGCTTCCTGGACTTGGAAGTCTATTTCTTTCACCAGGTGGGGGAAGTTTTCTGTCATTATTTCTTCAAATAGGTTTTCAATATCTTGCCCTCTCTCTTCTTCTGGTACCCCTATAATTCTGATGTTGGTACGCTTGAAGTTGTCCCAGAGGCTCCTTACACTATCTTCATATTTTTGGAATCTCTTTTCTTTTTTCTTTTTCAGTTGGGTATTTTTTGTTTCTTTGTATTTCAAATCTTTGACTTGATTCTTGGGATCCTCTTGTCTGCTGTTGGATCTCCATATATTATTCTTTATTTCAGTCAGTGTATGCTTAATTTCTAGTTGGTCCTTTTTCATGTCCTCCATGGTCTCACTATACTTATTGAGGGACTCATTAAATTTATCTGCGGTTTCCATAAAATTCTTGAAAAACCTTATAAACGTGGCCTTGAACTCTATATCCAGTCGTTTGCTTTCCTCCATTTCTGCCATTTGTGACCTGTTTCTTTGTCTCCGCATTTTGGCTGCTTCCCTGTGTTGATAGAGTGGCTTTGTGTGCTAGGTGTCCTGTAGGGCCCAGTGGCTCAGCCTCCCCAGTTACCTGAGGTGGACACTCTTGGTGCACCCCCTCGTGGGCTTTGTGCACAGTCTTGTTGTAGCTATGCCTTGGTTGTTGTAGGATCACTGGGAGGAATTGACCTCCAGGGCAATTGGCAGCGAGAATCAGCTGTGTCTGCAGTGGGAGAACTTCTGTGCTGGAGACACCCTTCTGGGGCAAGACTTGCTTCAGTGGGGTTTTGGTGGTCACTGAGACTGCACCCTGAGTGTGTCCCTTATGGATCTGAGGAGTTGTGATCTGGATGGTTCCCCTCTGACCACTGGGTACAGTGGCTCTTGGATCCAAGGAGGTGCTAATTTAGCCTCTGCCTGAGGTTACACAGCAGGAACTACGAAGAGAACTGCAGATTCCCCTTCCTTTTTTTTGGAGTTTGGAAGTGCCCTGATGATGCTCAGCTGTGTAGGAATGCAAGCCGCTGTGGGGCCTTGGGCCTTCTCTTGGAAGCTCTGGGTCTATCTGGCCCGGCTGCGGTTAGGTAATTACAGGTTGCAAATGGCCGGGGCATTCATATGCAAAAGCCTCTGCCGCAGCCTGGGCGGGGCGGGGTCTCAAGAAATCAAAGGGCGGAAAAAGCAGCTATGGCGGAGCCTCAGCCCTGCCCTAAGGAGTCGCGAGTCCCAGTGTCCCGGCAATGGCTGCAAGCACCTCTGAGGGAAAGCCGCTCTCAAGCTCGCCAGCTGCCAGACAGTCCAGTATCTCCCCGTATGAGTCCTGGGTCCCCAGAGACTTCCCGGAACCAGATTTCAGAGCCGTCGGGAGCTTGTGTCTCCCTCCGGATTCAAAAAGACAGACGCGTCCTCAGGTGCCAGACCCTTTCCGCGCGCGAGCCCCCGTACCTCTGCACTCCACCTCCGCAGCTCCTCCCGCTCGCAGTGTGCTTTTCTTTCCTTCTAGTTGTAGAATTTACACTCAGCCAGCCCTCCTGTAGTTCTGGATGATGTCCACCTTGTGTTTTTGATGCATTTATCGATTGTTGTGGGAAGCAGCAATTTCCCGGTGTTTATCTATGCCGCCATCTTAGTTTCTCCGTCCATAGTCCTTTTTGCTTAATCTTATTAGATACTTAATATTAAGATATGTATTGTCTTGTAACCCCTTTTCATATTCTTTAAAGTAAGATATATTTCTATTGTAAATGAGACAGGCAGCTACATCATTAATATACAATCCATTCAGGTTGAACACACAGTTATAATCAGCTATTTTTCTTTTTTTTAAAAGTCACCATAGCAAGATTTTAAATTATAGAAATGGCCAGAGGGTTGGGGGCAGGGGAGATGGTGTATGAAGAAAAAGCTAAGGAGAATTTACAAGGTTTAGTTTTTTAAACTTCTTCTTCTTTTTTTTTTAAAATATATTTTATTGATTTTTCACAGAGAGGTAGGGAGAGAGATAGAGTTAGAAACATTGATCAGCTGCCTCTTGCACATCCTGTGCCTGCA